TTTTTGAGGAGAGTCTGGTGTAGGTATCTTAAGAACTGTCTCTTTTTTAGCATCGGATAGTCATCTTTGTCTCTTTTTAAGTATGTACCCCAGGTAGCTTACCTCAGGTTTGCAGATTTGGGCCTTTTTGGCAGACGCCCGGTATCCCAGTTCTCTTATAACCGTTAAGAGTATTTTGGTTCTATCTAGGCAGTCCTTCTGTGTCTCAGCTGTTATAAGGAGATCATCTACGTATTGTAACAGAGTCAATTGGGGGCTTTGGAGGCGGAACTCACCCAGGTCTTTATGTAGGGCCTTGTCAAAGATGGTGGGAGAATTTTTGAACCCCTGAGGTAATCGGGTTCAGGTCAATTGTCTGTTGAGGCCTTGATCTGGGTCACTCTATTTAAATGCAAAGATATGTTGGCTTTTGGGTGCCAGTGGAAGACTAAAGAAGGCATCTTTGAGGTCTAAGACCGTGTACCATTGATGGCTCGGGGGAAGTGAGCTCAGAAGGGTGTATGGATTAGGCACCGTAGGGTGGATATCTATGACCCTCCTGTTTACCTCACGGAGATCCTGCACTGGTCGATAGTCATTTGAGTGGGGTTTCCGCACTGGCAGCAAGGGAGTGTTCCAGACTGATTGACAGGGCCTTAGAATACCCTGAGCAAGTAATCTCTTGATGTGCGGAGTTATTTCCTGTCAGGCTTCTAGGGACATAGGGTACTGGCAGACGCAGACAGGGTCCGCTCCTGGCTTTAGTTTTATATATATGGGTGATCTGTGTACAGCCAGCCCCGTGTCCCCAGTTTCAGCCCAGGCTTGCGGGAACACTGCAAGCCATTTGTCCATCTCAGGGTTTGGTGGAGATGGCCCTTGGTGTAACCGGTATTTATCTTTTATGTTTATAGTCAGCACTTGGATCGGTTTGTCTTTTTGATTAAGGACCTCTGTACCCCCTGGTTGGAAGTGAATTTGGGCTCCCAACTTAGTGAGCAAATCTCTCTCGAGCAATGGATATGGACAATCGGGAATGATCATGAACGAGTGGGTTACCCGGCCCACTCCCAAGTCTACCGTTTTTCGGGTAGTCTATGAATATTTTTTTATACCTGTGGCTCTTTGTACCCAGGAAGTTTTGTCAGAGACATGGCCATGAGGTTCAAGTAGAACCAAATGTTGAGCTCTTGTATCTACTAGGAACTCGACAGGTTTTCCCTCCACTTTTAGGGTTACCCTGGGCTTGGGGAGGGGTGCCGAACCCTGTCCCCTCTAGTGACTCAGTTTGTCCATAGCCAGGATGGGGTCCTTGGGGCGGCTTTCTGGCTTTTTAGGGCATTTTCTGGCCCAATGGCCTTTCTCTTTACAATAAGCACACTGATTTTTTTTTTAATCGGGGGCGATTTTTGTGTTTCCCCTTACCTTGTCCTTTTGTCGCAATCTTTTTTAGGCGATGTTTACGTTTCTTTGGCTCTCCCACAGTGGTGGCAAGAAGGATCCGAGCTAGGTTCTTAGTTTGTTGATCATTAGCCTTTGCCTGTCTTTTTCCTGTAGTCTCTCTATTGTTATATACTCTTTCTGTCACTGTCACTAAGTCCTGAATACTCTTTTTTTTTTAACCTGTCTACTTTCTGTAACTTTTTTTAATATCTGGCGCCGCCTGGTTGACAAAATGGATAATAATAGCCGCCTTAGTCTCGGCGGCCTCTGGATCCATGGGAGTATATCTACGGAAGGCCTCTAGGATTTTTTTTTAAAAAGCCGCCGGACTTTTATCTTTACCCTGTTGAACATCTCTTACTTTGGCCAAATTAGTGGGCTTATGAGCCGCTGCTTTTAGACCTCCCAACAGAGTCTGGCGATAGACCCGGAGTCTCTCTTTACCTTCTGCCATGTTGAAATCCCAGTTGGGCCAGGACAAAGGAAAAGAAGTGTTGATAGTGTCAACATTGAGGGTGGGTTGACCACTGTCGCCAGGAACCAATTTCCTGGCCTCATTCTGAATCTTTTTACGCTCCTCCATCGTGAACAGGATCTGGAGGAGCTGTTGACAGTCATCCCAGGTGGGCTGGTGGGTGAACAAAACAGTCTCTAACAGTTGGATTAGATCCCTGGGATTGTCAGAAAACTTGGCGTGTTGTGTGTACCAATTATAAAGGTCACTAGTGGCAAAGGGCCAATACTGGAGAGGCTGATTGTCATGTTCATCAGGGGGTCCAGTCGCCCTCAACGGGAGGACAGTGGAATCCGCCCGCCCCGCCACCAGCGAGGCTGCAAGGTGGTTGCGGGTGTTTTGGGCGGGGCCGTCCCCTCTAGCAATGCCTGCCTGGGCATGCAGTTTTTCCCCACCTATTGCCGGGGCTCTTCTCTCCACCCCAGCTGCCGCCGGGGCTCCTCTCTCTGCCCCTGCCTTACCTCTTCCTTCCGCCCAGCCGCTGCCGCCGGGGCTCTTCCCTCCGCCCCCTGCGGGGGCGGAGGGAGTGGAGGAACGGGGTGCGGGCGGTAGGGAGGGGGAAAAAGGAGATCTTCCTCAGTTCCTCCTTGGAGAACTGGGTAAAGCAGCGGCGCCATGGGTTTGGTTTCGGTTTCTCCTCTCCGGCAGTCTCCTCTGGTGGTTCTCTTGCGCACCGCTAGGACTGCTGCAGGCGGCTGCTTCTGTGGAGGCAAAAAGGGCTTGATCCAAGAGGGAGGGTTCTGCACCAGGTCTTTCCAGGTAACGATGTATGGTTTCTGGTCAGGGTGTCCCGTTCGGGGACGAAAAACAATTTTTCTAACTCTTTTGACTGTTTCTAGGTCAAATGTACCCTCTGGTGGCCAGTTTACCTTGAAAGTTGGCCATTTTGATCTGTAAAGGGTGATTAACTTTCCCTTTTTAACTTCTAAACTCAAATTATGTGCTCGCTTTTTAACTTTCCCAAAACGACCTGTTAACAAGGAAAGGGGGGTAGTCACAGTCTGTCCCATTGTCTCAGTCCAAGTCAGCACAATAAACAGACAAACAAACACAGCAGAAAAGCAAGACAAACTCGTCCTCCGCCCGATGGGAGACAATACAGAAAATGGGACTATAATGGCCTCACGCCGCACTGCAGGAGTGACCCGCACCGTCCCCCTAGGAGTCCCACAGACTCGTACTCACGGGGCACTCCGCCCCCTCCAGAAAGATCCCGGAATGTCTTCCAGGATCCCGGGTCGGCGGCCCTCGCAGCGCATCCGCCTAGACCGTTTGTCGACCTTTCCAGAAAATGGGCCCCAGACTTTACAGACACAGAAACACTCACCAGCCGGCGTCAACCCTCTGGTAGGGGAATCCTGAGGGTCTTGGGGATCCCGGACGAGCCCCCAAATGTTGTGCCCAGATCGCGAAGTCCCCAAAGACCACCAAGGAGCCGATTTCGATGTAAACACACGAGGGTCGTTTATTTAAGCTCGAGCAGGGACACTCAACCATCACGGACGCAGCGGATCAGGATTGAGAGCCCAGAATTTTAACTCAGCAGGGTTTTTATTGTGGCTACCACAAGGTTTGGGGATGTTCCATTTAGCAGTTACATGATTGGTTGATATTTAGCAAGCATGGGGGGTTGAGGGGTGGCT